GAGTAATTTACTAGCACAGTCTCGAGCCCACTGCAAGAAGACATTTAATTCATGGGCAATGGCTGGTGATAGTAGCAACAAAACATAAGAACTAGGGACAAAAAGAAGGACATGTGGTGGGAACTTGCAAAGGAGGAGCTTCCTCATCTATTAATGATGATCAGCATTAAGGGTTTGTCTAGATACATGCCTGGTTGGGTGTCTGGAGAAGGCTGATCACCTCAGATGTCGTTTTCTTTTTATCCTTGTTGGTTCTGGAGAGTTTTAGTTTTAGATAGCCAGTTTGAGATGAAGTCCAAATTGGCAAAGCGGCTTTCCTTGCATGGGTAGCAGGTATCCAGGAATCAACTCCTTAGAGCTTAGTGGCACAAGGGTTGGTTAGGAGTCCCTGATAAGGTTCCTTCCACCTTGTTAAAGAAAGGCCTTTAAATGATGCTGTTTCCTACAAAGTCTCCTGGTTGAAGTATGTGGTCCTTGAGTTTTGCCTCTTGGAGCTCATGTGGAAAGTCTTTTACTAAGTGACAGTTTTTAGTTAGGCGGCTAAAGAGGCTTTTGTAATAATACAAACTGTCCCTTTTTAACATCACTGATTTACAATTTCCTGGAGACAATTTCATAGGTCTGTCTGTTATAATTTCAGATAGAGACAGTTGGTGTTTACACAGAGGGGCTGATCTTAGGTGAAGCCAAAACAAGAAAGAGCTTCTGGTCAAGGAAGTTTTAAAACCTGTTAATTTTGCCAATTGAGTTTTGATTATTCTGCTTGTGGTTTCTACTAATCCAGATGACTGGGGTGATAGGCACAATGGAAATGTGGGAAATGGGCCAGATTTTGCACACTGACTGGATTATTTGTGCAGTGAAATTAGTACCTCTGTTGCTAGAAAGTTCTTGAGGAAGTCCCGAAGTCGGAATAAACTTCTCTAAGATAGTTTTATTACCACTAAGGCTGTTACTCTTCTGCATGGAAATACTTCTAACCTGAGAAAATACACAAACCATCACTAGGATGTACTTGTATCCTTGTGATGGGGTAACTGAAGAAACCTAGTTGCCATACCTCAAAAGGGCCATCTGTTAAAGGAAAATGACCTGGAGAACTGTGTCAAGGTTTCCTTGCATTATATTCTAGGAAGACAGCAGTGACTGTATACCTGTGAGCAACAGTCGGAAAAGGTTTCTGATGACATTGTTTTCCTCAAGAAATTAATCATCTTATCAGGGCTCCAATGAGTTATGACGTGTATTCATGTTAAGAAAGAGGGTTGTGGCTGGGCGTGGTGGCTCATGCCTGTAATCCCAGCACTTTGGGAGGCCAAGGCAGGCGGATCACTTGAGGTCAGGAGTTTGAGACCAGCCTGGCCAACATGGTGAAACCCTGTCTCTACTAAAAGGACAAAAATTAGCCTGGCGTGGTGGTGGGTGCCTGTAGTCCCAGCTACTCAGGAGGCTGAGGCAGGGAAATCACTTGAACCCGGGAGGTGGAGGTTGCAGTGAGCCAACATCTAGGTTGCACTCCAGCCTAGTGACAGCGTGAGACTGTCTCAAAAAAAAAAAAAAAAAAGATGGCTGTAACTTAGTTGGAAGTCTGAGTAGACCATCTGGTCCATAGTGTACCTCAGTCTCAGAAGAGTATGTACCTACTTTTGTTTCCCAATTTTCTTTTCCTGTTTCTGGAGATTGGATTGAGCTATTTTACATAAAAATCAAACTTCCTTAAAGGCCAAAATGGTTTGATTTTGTTGTTGTTGTTGTTCAGATATGTTTATGGCCACCCTGTTTGCTATACTATCTGCTAACTGGTTTATCTTGCTTTTTTGAGTGTCTTTGAATGGCCTGGAATCTTGATAATAGCTAATGCTTTTGGCAATAGTTGCTTCCCATAATTCTGAAAGAAAACACCCATTTTCTTATGGACTGACCAGAAAAGCTTAAAAATCCTCTCTCCATAGCATTCCAAAGTTATGAGCTACTCTGTAAGCACATCTGCTATTGGTATAAAGATTAGCAGTTATTCCTTTTGGCAACTGACAGGCTCCAATTAATGCTATTAACTTTGTTGAGCTGGTTGCTCCTGGAAGACAAACACTTTCTATTTCTTTGGGCAAAGACACTATGGCATAACCAGTGTAATAATTTCCAGATGCATCCTTTAAGAGCCATCTGTAACCAAATAACATCAGCGTTAGTGAGGGGGGTTCTTGTATGTCCATCCTAGGAGACAGTTGGTCAGTTAAGATGATGCAGGCATGCAGCGTTTCCGCTGAAGGTGGGGGAGAGTGGCAGGATTTAGATGGCATCTGGAGATTGCAGTATGGGGTGAGAGAAGAACTTCATAAGAAGCCATTTTCTAACTGATAGTGTTGAGTGTGGTTCAAGTTTAGACGTGCTTCCACAGAAAGCGGGTGGAAGGCAGTGAGGGGTGATCGTATCCTTGGTGCTTGCTTGACAGGCTCTTGCGGAGCCGTGCTGGTTGTTGCTTTCTGCACGGAGGCAGTCCTTTACCTGCAGGGTCTAGTTGTTGACTGTAATATCCTACAAGTCTTGTCTCCATGTTTTTGAGTCAGAACACCAATACACGTTTTATTTGCTAACAATTCTTTATATTGAGCTGGACCCAGGCCGGCAGGCTTGGCAGACAGTCTTGTGTGCGGCTGGCCTCAGCTGGGATGTTGGGAGAGCTGTGTTGTCCTCCCTCCTGCATTTCATGGGATCTTGGGCTCTTTGTCTTTCCATCATTTTTCCTTCAGGAAGTTGGGCTTTTAACCTGGTAGCTCACGGCTCCCAAGCGTGCTCCCTTGTGTGAGCTTTTTCCACTGCATCGAAAACGGCCTGGTGTGATTGCCTCCTGCCCTTCTCTGCAGTGATTGTCTGCCTCCTGCCCTTCTTCTCTGCAGTG